TGCAAATCCTCTTCCTCATCAGGTTGATTAGAGCAAGTTGTTAGGCGGCAGAGGTCAGAGCACTTCAATCCATTTTTGATACAGTCACAAGAATCACTATCACAGGACTTTTTGCACATGCATGACATCAGCTCTTTTACAGCTCTCGGTGCTGGAAGTCCAGTCATCCAGTCCAGTCTATTACAATTCTTTCACCAGCTCCATCATGCTCCAGAGCCCAGCCTTTACCAACTGGAGTTGGCACTTCGGCAGCTGATGCTTCTCCTTTCTTGGCACAGAAAACACCATATCAACACTGATGACATCAGAAACACCTTTCTTTGAACCATACAAAGCGCAAACGAAGGCTTCTAAGTGACGTAAAAGCTCCTCGGACAACTTCCACTCTTTCCCAAGCTTCTGGAACATGCTCTGATACTCTTTGTATGTCTATATACCGTGCATGGAGTTGAAACACTACGCTTATAAGTAAGTATGTTGATGAAAAACGAAAATGCAAGACAAATGACTCTGACATCAGTGTCTTCTGTGGAAATGATGATAGCACTGAACCATTGCTCTTTTGCAGCATGCTCAGCATGAAAGAGTCGAGTGTCAGCCTCTTCATGTTCTGAGTTTAGTTCTTCAATTTCTATGACTCTCTCTCTAACAACTTTTCCCACATGTTGCACACAGCTCCTTATCCCGCAGTTTTTCACGATTGCATGCTTTCCTCCAGTGCTTAACAACAAATCTTACAAGACTGTTCTTGTTTTCGCCATTGCGCAAAAAGCTTCAGAACTGCTTCACATTCTGGCCAGCTGCAAGGTTCTTGAAGGTGATGGCATCTCTCTCACCTCTAACTCTCAATTGACTGAATGGACTATTCTCTGTGCACATCAAACACAACATCTATTCTAGAACTACTTTCTCTTTCATGCAAAACTCAAGATCATGTCTGCGATCTCATCAAATGAAAGATAGTCAACCTTCAGCTTCTGGACCAGTGTCATGCCATCAGTAGGTCTCAGGACTTCAACTGTCGGCTGAACCAACTTTTCCAAGTTGTGCTTTGTTGGTTTTGCAGGGAAAACCACTGTGGCAAGCCAGTGATATAGGAAGAGGATCTAGCGGATGCTTTAAAACATCTTGCATCTGTAAATCCTGACTTTCAGCTATTATAATAATTCTTGCGAACATATTTCGATCTGAACGGAGAACAGTCTCTGTGCCTTTGTCTTGATTACTGTCTTTGTCTTTGACAAATGGCTGAAGGTTTTCAGCTTTTGTTTCTTTAATGTGTCATGCAACTTGACTTTTGCTGGCTCTGATTCCAGATGGTTCCTCTTGAACTCATGATAGGCTGCATCACCAACAAGATATGCACATTTAAGGTTATGTGCAATGTCTGCTGAGGCCATAGCCCCAGTAGAGATACTTGACAGCTGCATATGCCCAGCAAATGGATTTGTCCAGTTCTTGATGAGTTCTACCATTGTGGCAGCATCTTTCTCATCTCTAGCAATACGAGTTGACTGGAGATCAGCATGACCTTTATTACCTTATACCTTACATTATCATTTCACGCAAATTACCAAGAACCAAAGCCCTGAACTCGGCTGTCATATAGTATATCTGTACAGCTCCAGGTTTCAAGCTGAATCCTTTTGTTCTCCCAGGTGTTTGGGTGACTTTATTAAGAGTTTCTTTAACAGTCTGATCAACAGGGATTCTTCCGAATGGGTTGTTCTCTGTACTGAGAATTCACCAGATTTCATAAACTCATATATTTAAGTGTGTTCGTTGGACAGACTTGTCATGTCACTGTAATAAACTGACATGTATCTAGCGTAGTTAACTGCATCATATGCAAAA